TAAGAGTGACCAAGCCAAGGAAGGAGCATAGTGTAGGATGGGGATGATAGAGGTTCAGCCCCTCCAGTATATGATCTAATGATTTAGAGGAGAATGTGGTTGGGGATGGTGGGAGAGGTGGTGAATAGACCCTTCCCAAGATCTAGGTGGTCTGAGGATTATTAAGTCTGCGACACTATTGGATGCCCAGCCTTAGTCTCTACTTAACAACACCCTATGGCAGCACCTAACCTCCTAGAGACTTAGCCTATGTCACACTACCCATTTGCCACGCCCTCTGTGAAGCCTTGGTTTCTAAGGTTCTTTCCACCGGAAGCTATGACAGAAGGAAATGTGTGGGTGGGGAGGGGTAGGGGGTGAGGGGCCCAGGTTCCTGGCACAGACTACACCTAGGGAACGAAGAGCAAGCGCCATGTTGAGGCCGTCATCACCACTCAGATCCCTCTTATTCCTGCAGCTGCCTCTGCTGGGGGTGGGGCTGAACACAACGGTCCTCACGCTCAATGGGAATGAAGACACCACAGCTGGTGGGAAATCTGGGACTGGAGGGGGTTGGCGAGAAGGGAGGTTGTGGGAAGAAGCTGAACAGAAATCTGCAATCTGCCACAGGCCGCTGCAATCATGCGGGCAGAATTAAGAGTAGAGTGGGAAGGGCAAGGGGTAAAGTTCCCTGTCTCATGCTGCTCCTTCCTCTGACCATCGTTTCTTCTTTTTTCCTCCCCCACTTCATTTTCTCCCCAACCTAGATTTCTTCCTGACCTCTATCCCCCCTAGGTCCCTCAATGTTTCCTCTCTGCCCCTCCCAAAGGTTCAGTGTTTTGTGTTCAATGTTGAGTACATGAATTGCACTTGGAACATCAGCTCTGAGCCCCAGCCTACCAACCTGACTCTTCGCTATTGGTATGAGAGGGAAGAGGGGGTAGGAGAGGGGAGGAAGTGGAGGGGGGCTAGATCCGAGACAAGAAAGAGGGTAGCAAGCCTCGCAGATGCCCTACTATTTCCTCATGGGGTAAGACATAAGTCAGTTCAGAGGAAGGGCGGCTGGGCTGTGGATATCTGCAGTACCCAAATTGGCCCATTGTTCTTCTTCCTTCCAACCCTTCTCCTTTAGGTACAAGAATTCTGATAATGCTAAAGCCCAGGAGTGTGGCCACTATCTATTCTCTGGAGAGATTACTTCTGGCTGTCGGTTGGAAAAAAGGGAGATCCATCTCTACCAAACATTTGTGGTCCAGCTTCAGGACCCACGGGAAGCCACGAGGCAGGCCATACAGATACTGAAACTGCAGAATCTGGGTAATTTGGAAAGAAGAGGCCAAAAGCCCTGGGATATTGTGGGACACTGGAGTCCAGGGGGCGGTATTCTCTCCCCATAAGGGTACATATGCAGAAAAGAGGAGGTAGGGGATTGGGATGGGAAGGGAGGAGGGGTAAGGAGCACTACCTTCAGGATCCTGACTTGTCTAGGCCAGGGGAATGACCACACACGCACACATATCTCCAGTGATCCCCTGGGCTCCGAGGAATCTAACACTCCGCAACCTGAGTGAATCCCAGCTAGAACTGAGCTGGAACAACACATACTTGGACCATTGCTTGGAGCACCTGGTGCAGTACCGGAGTGACCGGGACCGCAGCTGGACTGTGAGTGACTGGGGGTGTAAATGTAGCAGCTGAGGCCAAGCAAGTGGGGTTAAAGGATTCAATGAGCCAGATAGGGGGACCTAATAGCAAGCTCCTGCTCTCTGCCTCCCAGTTCCTCTGCTCACCCCCACACTCCTCCAACTCCTTTCCTATCATCACCAGTGGGTTCTCATTGAGGATTGCCTACCCATACTCTTCCTGATACCAGATAGACAAGCAAACAAAAGGAAGCCATTAAAGGGATCCAGAGAGGAGCCATCAGATTCAAGTCAATGAAAGGAGCAGTGTGGCTTGGGTAGTCAAGAGAGGAGGGAGGAACTGGAAAGAACCAGAGAGGACATGGGGGTGGGGTGGGGTGCAGGAGGACATTTTAATTCTCTCTTATTTTATAAACACCCACCTTTCCCTCACCCTCTTTCCCTCCAAGGAACAGTCAGTGGATCACAGACATAGTTTCTCCCTGCCTAGTGTGGATGGGCAGAAACTCTACACATTCCGTGTTCGGAGCCGCTTTAACCCACTCTGCGGAAGTGCTCAGCATTGGAGTGAATGGAGCCATCCAATCCACTGGGGGAGCAATACTTCAAAGGGTAAAATGGGTCTAATACATGACCCCAATCCATGGGTCCAACACTCCCAATCTTTCTAACACCACTATCTTTTGCTATACCTCTCTATCACTGAGCCCCCAAACTTGGTGCCCTATTTCCCCTCACTGTTCATCCCCAACCCCTAGAAAGCACGGTTTTTCTGGTTAGGATTGGGTTGCTGTGTTATTAGAGCAGGGGAGTGGATTGAGAAGGAGGCTGAGGGGGATATAGAATGTATAGGATTTCCCTACAGCATTCCCAGAGAGCCTACCTGGTGAAGATGGCTTTGGAACTAGACAGCTCTAGGATCTGCCACATACTACCTCTTTGGCCTTGGGCACATCACTAAACCTCTTCAAGTCTGTTTCCTCACCTGTAAAATGGAGATAGTAATTGTCCCTCCCTCTCAGGAGCCGTTGTGAGGATTAAGTATAGGGCATGTGTTTAGCACAGGGCCTGGCACCAAGTTGGGGCTCCACAAATGTTGGCGCATAATAGGGGCACCACAAATGTAAGGTCCATGTTCTTTTTCTATTTTCCTACAGAGAATCCTTCATCGTATCACTTCTCGGCCTTTTGGCCAAGATCAAGTGGGGATAATCCTTCGTTGTTTGCATTGGAAGCTGTGCTTATCCCCCTCGGCTCCATGGGATTGATTATTGGCCTTGTCTGTGTGTATTGCTGGCTGGAACGGTGAGATTTTGGAAAGCTTAAAAAAATGAGGTGGGGGTGGCTGGGAATAGTAGAGGAGGGTATTGCAGAGTCCCCAGGAGTAGAGGGTGGGACAGTAAGGAATGAGGGATCACCCAAGAGGGCATGATGATGGAAGGAAGCCACAGGCACAGAGAACAAGGAATCACATCATTCCACATGGGACAACTGGAAGAAAGAAGGGTAATAAAAGAACTTTAAGCCTGAGCAAGAGTGAGACTCCATCTCTACAAAAAATAGAGAAATTAGCCTATAGTCCCAGCTACTTGGGAGGCTGAGACAGGAGGATCCCTTGAGCCCAGCAATGTGAGAGTGTGAGGTTGTGGTGAGGTATTATGAACCCACTGCATTCTAGCATTCTAGCCCAGGCAACAGACAGGGACCCTGCCTCAAAAATAAATAAATAAATAAAAGAGCTTTAACTTGGTGGGGCCTGGTGGCTCATGTGTAATCCTAGCACTGTGGGAGGCCGACGGGGGAGGATCCTTTGAGTTGCTTAGGAGTTCAGTTAGAGACCGGCCTGGGCAAGAGCAAGTTACCTCCTCCCTCGTGTCTACTAAAAATAGAAAAAATTAGCCGGGCACGGTGACACATGCCTGTAGTCCCAGCTACTCGGAAGGCTGAGGCAGGAGGATCGCTTGAGCCCAGGAGTTTGAGGTTGCTGTGAGCTAGGCTGACGCCACGGCACTCTAGCTCAGGGGACAGAGCCAGACTCTGTCTCAAAACAACAACAACAAAAACCCCACTTTAACCTGTGTGCTCCCCTGCTCCCTCTTTCTCCCCCATCAGGACAATGCCCCGAATTCCCACCCTCAAGAACCTAGAGGATCTTGTTACTGAATACCACGGGAACTTTTCGGTGAGAACGCTGTCATAAGCATGCTGCAGTCTGTCAACTGCCAACTGCCTGCTAGCAAGACAGACGGGGGCGGGGTGGGGGTAGATGGGAGGGGGAGGGGGGGCCTGCACAAACTGTCAGGATGTGGCCGACCGAATGGGGGATGGGCTAGACAGAGAGAGAGAGAGACACTGAAGGACGGATTATAGATTGGGTGGAGTGGGTGGAAACAGTGGTATTGGGGGCCCGAGCGTCTGTGTGTCCCTTCCGTAATCACAGTGGCTGCAGACATTGTGAGAGCTCCTTTGGCACAGAGCCTGGGTCTTTTACTTCCTGCCTCGGATTGACCCCTGACCTGGACATATCTGTCTTTAGGCCTGGAGTGGTGTGTCTAAGGGATTGGCAGAGAGTCTGCAGCCAGACTACAGCGAGCGACTCTGCCTCGTCAGTGAGATTCCCTCAAAAGGAGGGGCCCTCGGGGAGGGGCCAGGGGGCTCCCCCAGCAACCAGCATAGCCCCTACTGGGCCCCCCCATGTTACCCCCTGAAGCCTGAAACCTGAACCCTGGCCCGCTGACAGCACCCCAGGGTCCCATAGCCCCCAGTGGCACTGACTTCCCTTCATCCAACCAGCCTGGGGCCGACCCCTCTGTGGCTGGTTTTAATTTTGTGCTCCCGTGTCATGCCCCATTCATTCAGTATCCCACACTTGAGAATTGCCCCTTTGCCCTGTACCTGTTTCTCATGTCCTCCAGCCTAGCCCTTCCTTTTGCTAGGGCTCTTTCTCCCGCCATCCCGCTTTCCATCTATCCTTCAATTGTTCCTGAATCAATGAGAAATAAAGTTTCTGTTGATAATCATCAAGACTGTCTGTTATGGGGCATGGAGCAGGGGAAACCTGGGGTGCAACAAGGGCGGGAGGCGTGGTACTGAGAGTAGGAAGGAGTAGGAGACGTGCTGTGGAAGTGGTACTACTACAGATTAGCTGAAAAAAGAGTGCTGTTCTGGCAACTTACATCTCTCCAGGTCTCCTGCACTCATTCCAAGGTCCACTTTAGGGTTAGATTTACCATGTTGTCCCCATTCCTGACTAATCTTTTACAGATCCCACCCAAGTGCTTCTCTCCTTACCCTTACTCCAGTTTCTGCCTCACATACCACTTCTGACCTCATAATCCCTCAGCTGCAGCCTCAGGCCCCACCCCTAGGGATGCTGGTTACCCACAACTGCCAAGAGCTCTCTCCATCTGCTCAGTCTGGGCCTCCTCAGCCTATGAGATCCATCTGCCTCCCCAGTCCCCCAACCCTATGGGCCTACTTGATTCCCTAAGGCCTCTCAAACACCCTCCTTCTCCATGACTCATGAGGGCACTCTCCGAGGAGTGAGACGATCTTGAGAGCATGTTCATTTTCATCAACCATGGAGGTGAGGGGCAGCCCAGGCCTGGAGTCTGTTTATGGGGATGGGGAGGTTTGAGGACAGTGGAGATCATAGCAATGGTATAACTAGACAAGGGCCCACGTGGCCCATCCCATCTCTTCTCAGATAATCAGCAATTTCTGGTCAATACCAATTGCTCTGTCCGCCTGTTGCTACATTATATTCGAAGTAAAGTGGGGTTGCCTAAAAGAGGTGAGGAGTTGGGGGAGGTGACTAATGGCTAAGGGTCAGAAGTAGTAGGGTCATCTCTGGCCCCCAAACCCTCTTTGTGGCAGGAAGGGAATCCCTTGGATCTGTACAGCTCCCTCCAGTTCATTCTGTATAGGATCACTGGCCCCTTTTGCTCCCACCCTCTTTCCTTAGCTGCCCCAATTACCCTGTGGCCTCCCTCCAGACACCATCGATTTGTGTGATGAAACGGGGACAATGAAGTTGCTTTTCCTGACGAAGACCCCTGGAGACTATGCCAGCAAATTCCTTACAGCTCGAAGCATCTACTACATTTGTAGGGTGGAGCGTGGGGGACCAGGTAGAGGCTTGGGAGTGTTCCCCAGAGATAGAACAAGGCCCTCAAGATGGATTGTGAACTTTGTCTTTAACATAGGGCACCCTTGGCCGAGTCCAGTGACTCATGCCTGTAATCCTAGCACTCTGGGAGGCCGAGGCGGCTGTGAGCTAGGCTGACGCCACGGCACTCACTCTAGCCTGGGCAACAGAGTGAGACTTTGTCTGAAAAAAAAAATAGGGTACCCTTAACCAAGATCCAAATTGGCCGTATCTAGTCAGCCTAAGAAAGGGCACTGCCTCCATAACAATAAGTTAGGGTCACACATACCATGTTCCCCCTGCCTCATCCTGGGGTCCATACCATAACTCTCCCATAGGAGGAAATAAGGTACAACCAGTTCAAGGCAGTGTTTAGTGTTAGGGTCCTCAAATCTTGGGCTTTGGAAGGGTGGAGACTGGACGACAGGAGTTGGGGATAGCACACTGCTATGTTCACAGGAACCAGACTTCAGAATGCCTATAGAGCTTTTGTGCCCCTGCTGAAGAATCCAGAGCCAGAGCTCATTGGTAAGGAGTGTGATGGGGGAGGGAAGAACATGGAGGGCGCTGTACATAGCGGTGTGATGGAGAATATGGGGTGAGACTAGGATCCCCTATATGGCAGGTAGGATCACAGAAGCCTAGCAGAGGGGGAACAGGGTTCAGGTCCACTTTAGGAGGGATGTTTAGCTCAAACCTGTGTGTATACATGTTATTTCCTCCTCCCGCCATTTCTTGACTGTCTTCTAGGTATATCTCCCTACCACCACTCCATCCTTTCTATCTTAGGCTGGGTTGCTCCAGTTGATTGTTTGAATGATGAAAGGGCGGGGATGGATAAGATTTCTAGGCCTCAGAGGTGCAGGTGCCCTTTCCCTGTTCCTAGATGCACTGCGCACACAATGCGACCTCCTAGAGAGGAGCCGAGTGAAGATGCTTAGAATCCAAGAAGCCAAGAAGGTCGTTCCAATTCAGTCTTCCGTGAACGTTCCAGTAAGACTCCCTGAATGTGGTCTGCCCCAGCTCCACCCTCTCCCCACCAGCCAACTGAATGCTCCTCAACTCCGGCCCTCTGGGATAAATTTCCTTTCCGAATTCAACATCTATGCCCAAGACCTGCCTCGAACCTCTTTTCACCCTTCCTTTAGCCCTTGCTTGCAGAAACCTTCCCTGCAGGGGCCTCATTGTTTATCCACTTCATTTCTCCTTCTAGTCCAAATCATCGGGACGATCAGACACAGACACGCCCCCTCGCAAGACTGTGGTCTTTAAGACCAGAGCAGACGTTCTCAACAAGAGGGATAAACGTCGCTAACTCAATAAAGTGACAGAGTGAGAGCAGTAATGCTAGGTATGAAATTACTGGAGTTTAATGTGAGATTTCTTTTTCTAGAAAGACTCCTTCTCCCAATATCTGCACTAAGGCTTAAGTATGCCCCAGGCACAGGGAGGCTCCAAGGGTGGATGGGAGCAGCAGGAGAGGGCTGGAGTGAGCACATGGGTGGGGGTGAGGAAAGACTGTGAAGTTTAGTACAATGAGCCTTTGAGGGACTGAGTAGGGGGTGGGGTCTTCTCAAACCAGACTACCTCCCCTTGGGAGGCCTATCTAGCAGCCCGCCTACTCCTGCTGGGGTTAGATGTCCCTCCCCCACCACACTCCACCACCTCCCTGGGCCGAAATTCCCCCACCCCCACCTCTCTGCCTCTGGGCAGTTCTTCCGCCCGCCTGCCCTCCCGCCCGTTGCCTTTTCCCCCCACCCTCCCCCTTATCCGAGGGGAGCAGCAAGGCAGCAGAAACAAGAGCTGGTTATAGGCATTTATTGAATTTATTCATTTATTGATTTGACACACTTCCCCACTCCAATCTAGCACATGATACAATCTGGGTAGGCCAGGCGCTGACACAGGAAATGATGGGAACCCACAGCAGGGGTGGGGGAGGGGACAATGCAAAGGGCACTGGGGGAGGGGCTGCTTGGGGGCTGGGGTGGAGAAGGAGCCCCAGATGGCCTCCCTGGCAGGTGCTAGTAAACCTGATCCACATTCCCCCCATCCCTGCTCATTTCCCAGACCCTCAGCCAAGCTTCCCAGCTCTCCCTTCCCTGTTCCTCCCCTCCCCCCTGCCTGCCACAACACACACTTCCACATAACCCCTGTAGTCTGGGAAGGGGAAGAAGGGCAGGGACAGCTGTCAGGGGCCTTGAGCAGGGAGGTCTCTGTACCTAACTTTACCACCCTAAATCCTTCCCTCCTCTTCTCTACCATCCCACCCCTTTCCAGGCCTCAAGCTAATTCCAGGCCTTCCGTGCGCTCTCCCACCCTAGCACTAACTCACATTGGGTCGGTCACAGAAGAGAGTGTGGCTGCACCAACACCACACACTCCCAGGCACAAGTTGGCAGAATAAGGGGATCTGGCTTAGCTTTTTCCTTAGGGAAACTCCAGCCTATTATGCGTAGACCTTTTTCTAGATCTGGTCCAAATGGGGATCTTCCCCTTGTTCACGGTTACTCCCCATCTCTCCCCCCTTCCCTGTGTCTCTCTTAGTATCTGTAGTGTTTGTATCATGTCACTAAGACAAAGCCTTCAGAAAGAAAAAAAGCATTCTCCCCATCACTAGCACCTTGCCACTGTTAAAAATCTCTATATTTGTGTTTATATTTCTTTAAAAGTTTATAAAAAGCCTTTCTGCTACCTGCAGCCTTTCAAGGGTGATTTGGCCTGGCTGGCGAGCCACTCCAGTGCTCAGACCTTGGCCCTTCCAGGTTCCCTATCCCCCCCACCCCCACCCCACTGGCCTAAGGGGCCACTGCATAAAAACCCCAGGCTTGACCTAGCCTGGCCCAGCTCAGATAAGACTCTCTACAAAAAATCCTGCTCCCAAAGGCAGGGGTAAGGCCACTGGTGACTTCACATTCCCGACAGCATTGCCCGCCCCTGCTACAAAGCCTAGGGGGTGCGAATGGGGGCGGCTGAGGATGGCTCCTGAGAGGGGACCTTACCCCTTAATTGGCACAGTGAGAATAAACCCTTCTCCCTTTCCCCTCCCATAGCCCTCCCCCCAGAGTCCCCACGTGGGGCAGCTTTGTCTTTATAATTTCCTCAACACCGAGTGTGACCAGACCCCACCCTAGCTCTAAAGCAGGGTCCCAACTTGCTGGGGAGGGTTCAAGGATAAAGAGTGGATATGGACACGGCCAGGCTCCACCTCTGAAGCAGGGGACAAAGCTTCCAGCCATGACTCAGGGATCTGTGGGAAGAAGAAATAGAGGACAAGGTAAGAAGCTTATCTGGGGCATGCCAACTTTCCACCATTCAGATTCACATCAAGGATAACAGAGACACCCCCCCCCCCTTCTGTGCTACCTTGCAGGGTTGGGCACTACTGAGGGGCCTGGAGGCCCCATCTGGAAACTATGCCACTCTGATCTGACATCCTTCTTCCAATTCCCCAGGAGCTCTCACTATCCCTTGTTCTAAAGCTCCTGCCTGCTCAAATCATGGGACTAGCTAGGCACCTGGGAGTGGACATAGGCTGTGAGAGCTACGATGATTAGGGGGTGCTGTACCTGGCTCAAAGTTGAAGTCCAGTCCCTCGCCCCCATCCATGAGGTCACTGATGATGTTATCCATGTCACACTCCAGGTTCTCCATATACATATCAAGATCTAGATCCTGAGGCATTCTGTCTTGGCTTGTGGCTTCAGTAGGGGGTGTGAGCACTGGAGTCCCCAGGGTCTTGGGGATGGCAGCGCCCGCCATGACTGGCGGAGGTGCTATCATAGGAAGGGTGGGAACCAGACTGCTGGGGCCGGGAGCCTCTAGGGGCTTGGGACATAGGCCGACTCCTGTGGCTAGCTTACTGGAGGAAGGTATCCCTCCCAGCAACAGGAGTGTTGGAGCCTGGGACAGAATGGGATCTACCTGGGTCATGAGGACATCAGCAGGGGGTGGTGGCGTATCGGAGGTAAGCAGGGCCTCCAGAGACTGGGAGCTGGAGAAGCACCCCTCTCCTGCCGACAGGGGCCCCTCTGCTGGGCTGAAGAGGGAGGTGCTGTACGTGTGTATAGGACCGGTAACCCCAGGATGCTGCAAAGAGAAGCCAGAGAGACTACCCCGAGATAACAGGGAATGGGAAGATGTGAGATTGAGCCCATCTAACAGCTCTAGATCTTCATTTAGGGTGGGAGGGATACCCCCTGCGTAGCTGCTGACTGAGGCTGGTATTTCCTCCTCTGCCAGCACCTCAGACTCTGGCCTCAGAGGGGACAGGCGGGTGCTGACAGTGCTAGCATTCGAACTGCTTCGTGGACGGAAGGTGGTCCACACATCGGCAGCTTCCTCGCGGTTTCGAGAACAAGGGCTGCCGGACCACTTGGCAAAGTGGCCAACGGGGCTCGTCGGAGTGGCACCTTTGGATGGGGCTGGCAGCACCGGTGGCTTCTTCTTGGGGGCCTTGCTGCGGCCCCGGAGCAGCTTGCTGCTGCTATCCATGGAGGCGGCACGGCGGCGGGGCGCCTTGCCGCTCTTGCCTCCCTCGGGGTTCAGCATCCACCAGGAACTCTTGCCGGTGGCCTCATTGTGAACCTTGATGAACTTGCTGTGCAGGGACAGGTTGTGGCGGATCGAGTTCTGGAGGGGGCAGAGGCAGCAGGAAAGGGGCATGAGGTGTGTGGAGGGGAGGTCAAAGGCCAGCAGTCTAGTCTAAGAGGATGCCGGGACACAGCAGGGGTGTTCCTGGAGACGCAAAGTAAGTCACATTTCTTTGGCTCCTTCCCCAGGGGGGAAACCGGCAGGGCTGGGGGTGGGGACGGGAGTGGGGTGTGAGGGGGAGGAGACCACACACAGTTCCTACCCCAAGACAAGCTGTTCAGCCTCTGCTCCAGACTTCTCTGCGCAGGGGCTAGGGAGACAACGTGATGACAACCTACGGCAGAGGGCACGGTGCCCACCCTGGAAGAGCTCCCAGCACTGTGCTCCCCTCGACTCTTGGGGGAGGGAGCGTGTCTGGTTCCGGTGGGCATCGGGGAGGTGTGCTCCTGGCCCAGGTTCAGGTGGGAAAGGACATTCCACCCCTTTCCTTGAGTGCAGGTTTGGGCGGAGTGTACAGGACAGTGGTGTAACTCCAGCCCAGCACTGACTCACCCTGCCCTGAGCCAGATCTCTGAATAGGCTGAAGGGCTGGAATCTCAGCGCAGCTGGTGCCCAGTCCCCACAGAGCATTTGGGCCGTCCAGCGCTCTATAGGATTTTGAGATTCCTTTTTTTCTGAACCCCAGCCTTACTTCTGCCAATCCATGACGCACACCCTCAACTACGTTCATTCCAGGCTTCTCATTGTGCCTCAAATACACAAGGTGCACCCCCCCTCTCCCTCCTTTTCCTAGGAAACATCTCCCATCTCTAAATTCTACTAGTTGGCCAAGCTCAAGTTCCGCCTCTTTTATAAAAGTGGTCGCTTGACTTTGGCAGCCAAATTTCTTGGACAGTATTTTCAATCTGTTCCACACCATTTTACCCCAATCTATATTGTGTTGTTTATAGTTTCGTGTAATTTGTCTCATCAAGTGTAAGTGCCAAGGTCACTGATAATGTCCTCCGGTCCCACAGCCCCCAACAGTGCCCTCTCAGAGTGCCAAGTTCACAGCACAGACTCAGTACGTACTCAGGCTCACAGTACCTAATCAATATTTGTTGCCTGATTGGTAGATGCCCCCAGGTGATGACGGTGAGGTCCCCCTTGAGGCTCTGCCAGCTCCTGAGTGCTGTGGGTATTGGAAGCTATGTGTTTTCCCTTCCTCCCTCACTGGTGACATTCTATTAGAGATACGTTTCTTTTTTCCAGCGGCCCAGGGAGTGGAGACTGGCAGCTTTTGAGCCCCCAGTTAAGTATTTTTACTGGATACCACAGGCTAGTCAACACCACGGTTTTGATTTTTTTTTTCTCCCTCTGGGAACCTGCCTTCTTTTCCCTACCTCCTTCCTAGCTCCTTTCCCCCACTTCTCAGGAATTTGTGCATAAACTCACTAACCTTGGGGGCATTTGACCTCCCACAAGGAGCTCTTTAGAAATTCAGGAGGCGCCCATAAAGGTTTGAAGCAACTAGAAGGCTGAGGTTACAGACAGTCAGAAACCACTTGTGTTTCTCTGACTGGTGCTCCAAGATAAGACCCTTTGCCTGGGGACTGATGCTTGAGCAACTTCTTGTTCCAGGGCTCTTTAGCCAAAGAACTCCTTGTGTCCCTGGGACCATATGGTAATGGCACTCCAACTATTCTGGCTGTGCTGATGTTTCTAGCTCCTTCATGGAGTTGCACTTGTCCATCTAGCCTGGGCTCGTAGTAACTGAGGATCACAGTGACTTCTGGCACCATGATTCCCTCCCTTTTCATCCTCTGACTCTGGGTCTACTGAGAAGGCCACTTCCCCTCCTCACCACTTAGTAGCCCATTTGTCTCCTCTTCTGTAGGCGACAGCAAGTGGTACATACAGCCTTTTAACTGGAGAGGTCACTTCCCTAGAAGCCTGTAACTCCTATGTGTTGAGGGGGGGGTTGGTGACCACTAATTACTCCCCAAGCCACCTAACCTAGCTTTCTTGTTCTAAGTGAGTGCCGCCCCCTGGTGGGGTGGGGGTAGCCTTGGCACATCATCAGAGAAGCCAGTTCAGGTGTGAGACTTCCCCCTCAGAGAGGTTAGGGAGGCCTCCAACGCCCCAGGCTCAGCCTGATTTGGTTTTGTCATCATTCCAATGACAGGGGGCCATGCTCTTGGAAAATATGATTTATAGTTAGACCTGAGTTCAAGTCCTCATTCTGCTGCTATTAGGCGAGTTTCCTAACCTTTCTGTCCCTAGTTTCCTAATATGTAAAATGTGGAATCTCAGAATAGCTGTGAAGATTAATAAAATAAAAAATTTAAAAACTACTTTGTCGACTCTAAAGTCTCATATAAGTGTAACTTATAAGGAGCGACCATACTCTCACAGTATAACTAACAACTTGTGGTTATTTCTTCTACCCTGGAAAATGAACCCAAGGGAAAAGAAAAACAGCTGTGAAGGCTGGGTCCAAGGAGGGGAGCTCTTTATGAGCTGAGACTGTGGCGTGGCAGTCTACCCAGAAATAGTGCCAAGGGTCTCAGTCAGCTGTCCCGTCTTCTGTTCTGCCCAGCCCCTAGGGATACCACAGATCTGATCCCTCATCTCCTATATCTAAGAGAAGACCCTCTGCTCATTCCACCCTCTGGACTTCGTTATATGCTGACCTCATCACCGACGGAGGTACAAGATGTCAATAGGGGTTGAAGCTCCCCAGTTTTGTGATTAGAGTCCTATACTTCTCAGGGCAAGTTTTTCAGAGTATCCTTCGAGATCTTTCCTCATAATTTCTTCATGGAAGTCCAAGGGAACTCCCAACCTTGTCCTCTAAAGTTGGAGCCCTACCTCCTTTTTCATGACTAATATTCCTCAACAGTAAATGAAGACTCCCCCCACCCGAAAAAAAACTTGAATAGCCCCGTACAAGGGAGAGTTTCTTGGCATTATAGGGTAAACTGAGCCAGACAGCAGCTCACAGCTCCTTTTCTTCTTAGTGCATAATAAGATCAGCTACCTTTCCCCATGAATATCACTGTTTTTACCCTGTGGCACCCCACTCTCGCCCTTTGGGCAGAGCAGTCCTAGAACAGTACTTCCACACCGAGGTACAAGAAGGCAGGCAGGGAATCCAAGTAATCCCACAGGAATGGGAGAAAAGGTGTTGGGGTGGGAGGTAGGGGGAGAAGGAAGGCTAGGTTCGTGTGGGGAATCCACACAGTTCCTGCTGTACATAGGATAAAGACTTCTCTGTGGGAATAAGTGTTTGGGGCAGCCCAAGCCAAAGTGCCGGGAGTGTTGAGCAGCGAGCAGAGAATTCGATTTTCTCCAAGGCAGGGACAGTGTCTTATTCATCTGTGATCGTCCAGCACCAAACACTGAGTGTGGCATATACTACGTACTAAGTCAATGTTGTCTAACTGAAGACTGAAGGTGGATCTCTGGGCTTCCCAAAGGGGTGGAGGTGGGGCAGCAAAAGGGGCTCCAGAGTAGAAGCAAGGGAGGCCAGGGGACCAGGGGGAGATGGTGTTGGGAAGAAGGTATGGGGGTCATAGTTACCTTCCATCCTGCTGAGCTGTTGCTGTCACCCTTGTCCTTGAAGTAGGGCACAGTACGGACCATCCACTCATAGATCTGGGCGAGTGTCAGTCGCTTGTCCGGGGCGCTTTCAATGGCCTGGCTGATGAGTTCTGCATATGACTGATTTCCCCAGGCATTCCGGCGGGAGCCTCCCTTCCGAGGACCTGTTACGGCCCCCAGGATCCCGGGCTGGGGGCCCCCTGCCGGCTCTGGGAGCCGGGAGGGCAATAGGATAGGCTCTGAGCGCCCCTCCGTGTGTACCTTTTCTCCCAGACCTGGCTCCACCTCGGGCGGTTCGGAGGGCTCGGTAGCGAGCTCCGGTCGGGGAAGGGGCCAGGTGCAGGAGCGGGGACGGCTCTGGGGTTCGAAGTCGGGATCGAGGTCTATGATCGCGGCAGCCTCTGTGGCTGAATTCTCATTCCCTGGATCCATACGTGGAGTCGGACCTCCGCGGCTCAGCATTCAGTGAAGCCTGACACAGTCCCTGACGATGCCTCCCCCCAGGGGGGAAGCACCGAGGGCCAGGAGGCACATTCCTGCCAGTCCGCAGAAAGTCGCGAACTTCCCCCTCGCCCCAGGACGCTAGCCCCCAAACTGTCCCTTCCACACAGTTCTCCGATCCTCTTCCCCACTACAGCCTGCAGCCTCAGAGCTCTTTCTGAGACACCACCTGTAACCTCCGCCGAGCGAAGACACTTTTTCTCCAACCTCTCACTCAGCTTCCTGCTCTTTTAAACCTGAGGCACCGTATCCCCTCATACATTGCGCTCCCATCCCCGAACGTCCCCTTAGCTGCAGTTCCCTCCCCTTTTGAGTTGCTGCCCCCCGGGCACTCCTCCCAAATTTCCTCCACCCGGATCGCTGCCCTCCCCCACGCCCCGCTCCCCCGCGTCACTTGCCCCTCCCCTGACTCCCCCTCCCCCCGCCTCTTCCCTTCTGGCCACTCTCTACACAGTCCGGGTCCCCGCAGCCCCAGCCTCTCTAATTCCCGCACCGATTCCCCTACCAACCCCCCCACCCCCCGCCCCCCGGGTTTCCCTTTTGTTTTGCTCCAAGCAGCAGCCCCCGCCTGACGTCTCTGTTTACCACTCGTCGGGGCAGCCATCTGCGCACGCGCCTCGAGAGCCAGTTGGGAAACCGAGTTCTTCGGTCCTGCCACCCTGGTCAGCCTGAAGGACTACATCTCCCGTCCCACTTCGCGGCCAGGAGCCCGAGACGGCGGCAAGAGAGCAGCGTGGCAGGATATGGGGAGGTGGAACTTTAATTATTAGAGGTCGTCGCGGACTTTTTCTTTTCTTAAAAGTCACTTTCCTCCTTTCCCCCCTTTCCACCCCTTCCCTTGTGGTAAGAGGTCGCCCAGGTGACTGTGTTGAGCGATGCTATACTTTTCCCTCCTTCAGTTAGGGGAGGGCAAAAGGGGAGAACGCGGTCTCTACCGCGTAGACGGCACTGAGAAGCAAAAATCAAGGAACTGACTAGAAAATGGGATGTATGCACGTTAGGTTGGCTGGGGGGCTTGTGTAACATAAACAAATGGTTAGCTCATGGTGGTGTCCCCCGCTCTCATTCGCAGTTCACACAGACCGTGAGGTCTTGTCTCTCTTACTCCACTGGCTCTTCTTGCCTCCCCTTAAATATTGGTATTCTCCAGGTTCCCGTCTTCAGTGGCTTCATTCCTCATTCATCGGGTTCCAAACTCTTCCTGCACCCATGCCCCATCCTCTGGGTACCCTTATCTCTGAACTTGGTTAATGGTTGTGCTGGTTTTCCCAGTCTCCCAAGCTGGACTCACCCTTCACTTTTCTATCTCCCTAACTTTCTACATCCAAATCCCAGTTCAAGACGGTATAACTGGACTTAAATTGCAAAATCATCTTAATTGAACCTCCTTCCATCAATCTTTTCCCTACTACAGTTTATGTTCCGAGCTGCCAACTAGGTTACCTTTCTAAGAAACTTGCCTGGCAAACACAGCTAAAATTTATGGAGCACTTATTATGTGCCAGTCTCTGCAAATTGTTTTACAAACATTAGCTTATTTACTCCTCGAATCAACTCTGTGAAGTAGGTACTACTGTTAATATTATCCCCATTTTACAGATGAAGACACTAATAGTCTTCTGGGATTAAGTGACTTGCCCAAGGAGGCTGGAGAACTGGGATCATACTCTTCTATGTGATCATATAATTCCCCTGTTTAAAACTTCCTCTGATCTTCCCCATTGCCTATGGAATATGGTTCAGACTCCCTAGCAAAGCATGCCAGGCTCTTCAGATTCAGGCCACTTCACACATTTCCTGCCTCATCTTTCACTAGGTACACTGAGTTCCAACCAGAGTTTTGCACTATTTCCTGGAAATACAGAGTCCTTTTCTACCTTTCTCTCTGAATCCTGGGATGTCATCCCTCTCATCATGGTCCCCTCCCCAAGTCTTTTACTTGAGAAACTCCTATTTGGCTTTCCCTGTCTCTCTGAGGTGCAGTTAGTTCTCCCTTTTCCACGTCCCCAAGCATTTTGTGCAGTCTTATGTTATACAGTGCAAACTATATTGTATCGTAATTATTTGTTTATCTGTCTCTCCAGATCAGCTCCAACTGTGAGCTCCTTAAAGGCAGAGACAAGTTTTATATATCTTTGTGACCTCAGCTTGGGGTCATATAGTAGACAGTAAATGTTGGTTGAATGAATGAATGGGATCAGAAATCAAATGAGGCTGGGCGCAGTGGCTCACGCCTATAATCCTAGCACTCTGGGAGGCTGAGGAAGGAGGATCCCTTGAGCTCAGGAGTTCAAGACCTGCCTGAGCAAGGTGAGACCCTGTCTCTACTAAAAATAGAAAAATTAGCCAGGTATGATGGTGCATGCCTGTACTCCCAGCTACTCGGGAGGCTGAGGCAGGAGGATCCCTTGATCCTAAGAGTTTGAGGTTGCTGTGAGCTAGGCTGACTGACACCAGGGCACTCACCAGGCAACAGAGTGAGATTCTGTCTAAAAAAAAAAAAAGAAAGAAATCAAATGATATTACACTTGGACATTTAACAACTTATAATAAATGTATCATATATATTTTTTCCCTAGCTATGTTCCAATTTTTCTGTTAGGCAGCAAGCTCCTAGGGGCAGGGACTATAATTTAACTTGTCTACTATTTGCAGTGTTGTTTGATACATGTTCTGTGGGGATCAAGCCTTCTTCCTGTGAGGAAGGATATCTAGGCAACCTGGGATTTTTCAGAAGTAGCAGCACCTTGGGCCTTCAAAGTGATATTAGCCTACTCCATGGTAAAATAGCCATCTTGATTCTCTATATTCCTGCTCCTTCTACTCCAACAAGCATTTTTCCTCCACTTTGTCACTTAGGTGGTATACAGAAGGTCACATATTCCTACCTGAGGTCCAGGCTGGAGAGATGGGACGTAACTACAATGCCTGCAGACATTCTCTACATATACACCTTCCTCCTGCAGCTCAGCTTGGAGTACCTGGTAAGTGCTGCATAAGTGATGAATTTGGTAGAGGAGAAGCTTGGTGGGCACTAAGTCACAGGAGCTCTTTACTAACTGAAACAGATGTGGTGGCAGATCACACAGAATTGCTGAGACAGGGAAATGGCAGGGTGGGGCAGGCACCTGTCCCGCTTGAGTTATATCTTGCATTGTTTCCGTTCGTGCATTTGCTTGAAAATGTCCACCTCTGCACCAACCCATGTCCATCACTTCCTTCAATTCCAATTCAAAGCTCAAAACTGACATGCCCTTGGAAAATTTCCCCAACTAGCCCAACCTGACAGATCACTTGTCTACTTTGCATCTCCAGAACCTCTATGAACTCAGTTTTTATTCTTTAATTTTGTGCTTGCAGTTACATGACTTTTTGTTTCACAAAGAAATATCTCTCCAACTAGATTTATAAATTCTGCTGTCGATCAACAGATGCTTGTAGAGGTTTTACTGTTAAAATGAGAATATACCTTGAAATCTTGGACAGATAAAAATGACCATAAGCCACAGGACCAGATGATTTAGGAGGGTGAGCTGAAGGAATGATGGGATGGTAAAAACACCATGACTTTAAAGCGTGCAGCTAGAGAGGTCAGGGTTGCTCCCCTTATTTCTGTAGAAGTGTTAGAATGTACATTAGTCAAGAGACAAGAGTTAGCAAGGTGGACTTGGAGAATAGAAGAGACATTGGTCAGGAAAGAGGACTGACAGGAGGCCCCCAGAAAACCACTGTAATCATACGTTACAAATATATGGCAGGGTATGGAGGCCGGGCGCAGTGGCTCATGCCTGTAATCCTAGCACTCTGGGAGGCTGAGACAAGAGGACCATTTGAGCCCAGGAGTCTGAGGTTGAAGTGAGCTATGATAATGCCACTGCACTCTAGCCGGGGTGACAGAGTGAGGCTCTGTCTCTAGAAATACATACATACATACATAGAATAAACATATGGCAGGATATGGAAGCACAGGCTTTTCTCCCAGTTGAAACCCCAGAGTTTATGTTCTCACATGGCTCCCCATTCACCACTTATTTTTTTCCATCTTGAAGGTCATAGGTGTTTGGCTCTCTTGCCTCTTTCACTGCTACTGCCACTCTTCTCCTGGGTGCCACGCCCCAAGCCTGCTGCCAAACCAGCTCTATTAATTTGAATTGAGATAGACATTTCTCCACTTCTTTCTTACCCTGCCCATCTCTGAAAAAACACACAATTCCCATTTAGAGTTTTGATAGGATGTTTGCTAGTAACCACATGGAGAGATACAGAGGTTAACAAAAATAACAATGAGAAACTTCAAGGACTCTTAGAAAGCACCACCTCTACTCGTCCTTGATCTTCACAGATGTGTATGGCACATGCATATATTTGGTGCCCCTCTTCCCTGAGTTTTTTCTTATGTGTTTCTGTGAAAGACTTCTAGTCCTTGTCTTAGAACCCACTCTCCCAACCCTGTCTGTTGCTATTTTAAAAACTCTTTTCAGTCAATAAACACTTCTTAAAGGGCCTGTTATTTTCCAGATATCAGGCTAGGTGCTTTCCCATAAAGTGTACCCTAGACTGAAGTACTCTGATTTTAGTCCCAAATAGATTTGAGTGTGTACCACTACTAAGTTGGGGCAACTTTTAGTCCTTTTTGGTCCCTGGAAGGCAATCTGGTGCAGTGAAAAGAGCACTTGATTGACTCAGGAAATATGAGTCCTTGGTATAATTCTGTCACTAACTAGTTGAATAACGATACTAATGATCCTAATATTAATAAGTAACATTGGATTTTTTATTATGTGTTAGGTACTGTGTTAAGTGCTTTACATGGATTATCTGATTTAATCTATACAACAAGCATATAAGCTAAATGCTATTACTATTTTCATTTACTAAAGAAGGTAAAGGGATCTGTTTAAGGTCCAGAGTCACTAAGTGGTAGAGTAGAGGTGCAGATCCAGGGAGTCTGACTCCAGAGCCTATGCAATTCAATTTTCCCTTTCTGGCTTTGGTTTACTTATTCGTAAGATGAAAATATTATGCTAGATGATCTCTAAAGTCTTTTCTAGCCCTAAAATTCTATTTCCTGTGATCTCCAATCTGAGTATAAGACCCCAGATTGTCCTTTTGGTCTTAGGCTGTCCTGAGCTTACACTTCACACTCAGACAAATTTGGTCCTGGCCTCCTGCATGAATAATGTCCACAATGCTTCATCCCTCAGGTTTCAAGGGACCTTCCAGCTTCCTCTTTAACTCTTCCTGTAGACCTCTATGGTTCCAACCTTTGAAAGTCCTACTGGCATGATATTTACCAGAGTTGTTTACCAAAGACTTTTTACCAGAGATACTTGCCAAAGAGTATCCAATACGTGATACCATGCTATTTTTATTTATATAAATATAAATAAAAATATATATATATATATTTTGAGACTCAGTCTTTCTCTGTTGCCTGGGCTAGAGTGCCCTGTCATCAGCCTAGCTCACAGCAACCTCAAATGCCTGGATTAGAGCAATCCTCCTGCCTCAGCCTCCTGAGTAGCTGGGACTACAGGCATGCGCCACCATGCCCAGCTAATTTTTTCTATTTTTAGTAGAGACGGTGTCTTGCTCTTGCTCAGGCTGGTCTTGAACTCCTGAGCTCAAGGGATCCTACCGCCTCGGCCTCCCAGAGTGCTAGGATTACAGGCATGAGCCCCCGTGCCCAGCCATGCTTATATTTTAAAGTTACATGAAAAGAGCAGGATGCATATCTCCAAATAAGGTCACATTTAAAAAAAGAGAGCAGGATGCAATAGTTTACATTCCATATGCCATAATTTTGTTTAAAGTACATTGAGAGAAGATAGGAAGAGATGCCAAAAAGTGTTAACAGTGGTTATTTTTTCTCCTTTTCCTTGTTTATATTTTTCCAATTTACTATGACAGTATATAACTTTTTTTTTCTTTTTGTTGATAGAAAACTTCCTTAGAATGTATATAACTTTTAAACTGGGAGAAATGCCTTATATTTTCCCTCTTTCTACAAGGGATTTGAAGTGCCTTACCAAAAGAAGAGTACAAATGTCATAAGATTATAGACATAGAAAATCAGAGGCATGGAAAGGAAAAGGAAGCTCATGTGCGATGACAGAGCATTAAATTCTCCTTTTTGGGTAGTCAGGGGAAAGGGAGAAATGCAGTAAATTACACAATTCTTGTTATCAGAAAGAAAGAAGCAGAGCAATTCCTAAGAGAGAAAGAGATTTTCCTGTCACTAAATCCTTTTTTCCCTAATTGAAAAAACAGGACTACAGCAAACAAATTTTTTTAAAAAACAAATTACTTATACTCCCATTTCCCTCATTCAGTTTTCATCTTTGCTTATCAGCTTTCAGTCCTTATCCACAGGCACATATAATTTTACGTGGTTACAATTAGTGTCTATATGCCATTTTGTGTTATGTTTTTTTTTTCAATAAACAGATCATAAACATGTTTTCATATTTAGTTTTCCATAATTATAATTTTTAACAGCTACATAATGGTACATAACTGGCACTAAATTCCATAAGAAATTTCTCATGTGGGATTAACATAAGGGGCAATGTCCTCAGTAACAGTTTTATAATGCACACAGAAGATATTTTCATATTATTTTCTTGTAACTACCCTGGCTAAAAGCCAAGGGCATAACATTAAAGCACGTCTGCAGTGGCTGAGCTCTGATAGTTCAGGCATGTAACCTTCTGCTGCTCCAACTTGACCTGAGGACACAACTTAAAATGCCACCTAAAGGAGTGGATGGATAGAATGTCCTTTGTAATATATTCCATAAATTTCTCTTCTCACCACCAGGCTTTTAACAGGACTTCAGGAGGCTGACTACATTTATTCACTGATGATGGCCAAAAGTGTTGTTATGCTCCATTGTTGACTGAGGCAGGATCTATATGTTTTGGAAGCCAGATGAACAGGTGGTCGGTGACAGGGTTACCATTCTGGCTTGAAAGTTGAGAAGCTTGACCAGTGTTGTTGCCGGTGTAGTCTACCTCATATCCCCGTGGAGGTAAGGTGCAGGTGAAGTCAAATTTTTCTTAGGAAGTAGCTTTTAAATCTGAGTTCCATGCCACAGAGGAGGGATTTTTGATCTGAACAATTTTCAAAGCCCATAACCAGTCAGGTGGCCTACGCATAAGAAGGGAAGTCTCAAAATATTCCAGTGGAACCTCTGGTTTTAGGAATTGTATGGTCCCAGTGTGCCAGCCAGTATGAATTAGCTGCAGAATGGAGTTTTATATTGACCAATTGAATTTTGGAGACTGTCACCAAGGACAATTAAAATCTGTTTACATAAATGATGTCAAGCTGTTATTTCTGGCACTAATTATGTACCAGAGCCAATTGCCTCTTAAAAACTATACCTAATTTACAATAATATAGCTATGTGGGCAGCATAAAGCCAGATTCACTTTTATTTTAAGATTTTTATTATATAAACATTACAGTTACAAAAAACCTTTTTTAAAAATAGAGAAAAAGAATAAAATAATTACAATCCCACCATTTTAACACAACTGTCGTTAGGGTTTTGTGTACTTCCCTTATTTTTTCACTACCAAACTTTTACATATTTATATTCATATTATATGTATAAAATTTATATCCTGTTTTAATAATTGTAGTTACACAATTCATGAGTATATTTCCCTTTAAAAATTTAGAACATTGCAGAAAAGTCTCTTTAGACTGTTATCCCACATACCTTTCCCTGCTCCCTGAAGTAACCCCTGTCATGAGTTTGTGCATTCTTCTAGACCATAGGAAAAATGTAGTATTGTTTTGTGTTTTTCTGTGCATAAATGATTACATTTGGCAACTTGATTTTTTTTAACCCCAAAATATTTTTGAGGTCTATCTTTATTGTTACATCTAGTACATCCCCTTTTTTTTTTTTTTTTTTTTTTTGAGACAGAGTCTCACTTTGTTGCCCAGGCTAGAGTGAGTGCCGTGGTGTCAGCCTAGCTCACAGCAACCTCAAACTCCTGGGCTCGAGTGATCCTTCTGCCTCAGCCTCCCGGGTAGCTGGGACTACAGGCATGCGCCACCATGCCCGGCTAATTTTTTATATATATATCAGTTGGCCAATTATTTCTTTCTATTTATAGTAGAGGACCACCGGGGTCTCGCTCTTGCTCAGGCTGGTTTTGAACTCCTGACCTTGAGCAATCCGCCCGCCTCGGCCTCCCAAGAGCTAGGATTACAGGCGTGAAAGTACATCCCCTTTAACTGCCATATTGTATTCCATTTTATTTAGCCATTCCCTAAAGAATTCTTATCTTTTTAGAAAGATTGTGGCCAAGAGGGCTAAATCTGCTAAACTGCCTCGGTTTCTCTGGTGTCACTCTGAGCACATCAGTGCAAGGAGACAGCCTGAAGTACATAAAAAAAAGTCACTTTACATGCAGGTACAGAGATTCCTGGTCTCCAACCACCATCCTGTGAGTCTAGATTCACAGTGCTGTTGAGTGAAACATTTTGCAATGATGGAAATATTCTATATCTGGACTGTCCCAGAAGGTAGCCACTAGCCACGTGTGGTGATTGAGCATTTGAAATGTGGCCAGTACGACTGAGGAGCTGGAGATTTAATTTAACTTTAACTTGGTCATTTGTGGCTAGTGGCTACCATATTGGATGGTACTAGAATCTTGCATATGGTAATGAAAGCCACAATCTTTTATATTACAAGCTACATCATCAGGAGCTCTAAGACAATTGTATCCACCCTGTAAAGGTCAATGGATGATGCTAATATCTTGTCTTGGTCCTCTCACATGCCTTTCTTTTAAGTTTAGGTTTACTTGTTACTGGCCTCCAAATGGGTTAAAAGATGTATTATCATACTGAAAAAAACAAGTTGCTAGAAAGCCTGTCTTTCTGGGAAATAACTGTACTCAAACCAAACTATGTAGAAATTCATTTCTAATCCCAACACACTCACTTGACATTTAATAAACTGAAATCCCCCATAATCATCCCACTAACCCACTAAAATCTTCAAGGATGATAGAAGTAGTACAAGAAGTCAACAGGAGGATATAAACATCTTACGAAAATTGTCTTGGCTAAGTGCTAGCATTGTTGAGTTAGTCGGATTGTGTGTCTTAAATGGGGTTTAGACCCAGAGAGAACTGACCTATTTTCTTTTTTTTTCATAAATGCCTCTGGGGCTCTCTGAATCCCTATCCAGATCTCCTTTATCACCCAGAAGGTTCCTGACTGTCCCATGTAGCCTGCTAAATCTATAGCTCACGTAGATAGGCATGTGGTTATGCAATTTGCTCCTAGAGCAGGCTCCAGAATGTCCAGATCTAATGTCCAGTTGATCTTCCCTGGCAGTATCAGGCAGATATGACAGCACATGTGAGCTGAAGAAATACACAGCCTGCCTCTCTGAGGAATAGAGGCACGAAGGCACAAATACATATACTCTTAATACAGAGGATAATAAAATCACATGAAAAATATGCTAGATATGCCGGTTATAAAAATGCATTACTAACTCTTCTTTTTCTTATGGGCCCCAATGTATGAAAGTATACCTATCCTTTGGTCTCTCCCTGCTCCTCCTGTTTCCTGTTCTTTTATGTTTACTTTCTCTGATCTCTTTGCTTAGTCTCTTTCTCTGTCTGCCTCTGGCAGTTTCCACTGCTGATCCCCCTTCTTCTTTTCCTGAGGCCAGCATCCTTCAACAAGGTCGTGCACTCAGTTAATCTATAAGTGGTATCAGGCCATTAAGATATAAGTTAAAGAGAAAGGAGGCTTAAATGCAGTTCTGTTTTACTTGTGACTATAGTTTGGTATACCCAGGGACTTCTTCCTACTCTAAGACTTTCTGTTTTAAAGTTTTAAAAAAGAAAATCCCTCTCCCACTATAGGAGTAATACATGTTTATTAAAGAAAAATTGGAAAATACAAAAAAAAAATTACAAAATACTCATAGTCCTACCACCCAATGAAAACCACCGTTAATATCTTGGTATATTTCTTTCCAGTATTATTTTTTCCTTCTATGTGGATTAAAAAAAAACATTGTTGTGATCACATTGTACATACAACTTTGTATTCTTGTTTTTTCCCCACTTAACACATAAGCATATTTTCATATGATCACACAGGTTCATAAATATAATTTTAGTGCCTGTACAATATTCTATCAGTTGGATGTACCCTAGTATAATCATTTCTCTATTGTTAATCATTTATCTTGAAGTGGCATTAAAATGAGTATTTGTACAATCATTGATTACCAAGGGTCTATGTTAAACACATATAGATTGTCCCAAACAACAATTGCCCATGTGGTCACAGGAAAATGATAGTTCAATGAAAGCTGCAATTTTTCAGTGAATGGTAGATTTATTCATAAAGTTTAAGAGAGTATAATATAGTATAAGGACATTCCTATCCATGATGGCAGCCTGGTCTGGTAAAAGAAAAAAAAATACTTTGGAATCAGACATTTTTTCCTTTATTCAATAAACATTAATTGAGTGCCTATATGTGCCAGGGAATGTAAATACACTAATATGAAAAACAAAGTGCTTGCCCTTGTGGAGCATATTGTTTAGTGGAATTCACAGGCAATTACATATAGCATGATAAGTGCTAAGATAGGGGAAATATGGGAGGCAATAAGTATATAAAAGAGAAATATCTAACTTGAACTTAAAGGATCAGGAAGGCTTCCTGGAGGAAGTAGCATCTAAGCTTAGACATGATGGATGAGTAGGAGTTAGCAAGCTAAAGATAGCAAGGGGACTGAGGGATAGACTATGTGTTTCAGACAGAGGAAGCAGCAAGTATAAAGTCTTATAGGCATGAGAGAGACTCTCTCTTTACTCTCTTTTATCTGAAGATGTCTTTATTTTGCCTTCATTCTTGTTTTTATTTTTAAAGGGGGTCTTGCTGTATCACCCAGGCTGGTGTTGAACTCCTGGGCTCAAGTGATCCTCCTGCCTCAGCCTCCTGAGTAGCTGGGACTATAGGCATGTGCCCACCATTGTGCCTGGCTTTGCCTTCATTCTTAAAATATATTTTTACTGAACATAGCTATAATTCTGTTTTGACAGTGGTTTTCTGCCCAGCAATTTAAAGATGTTTTCCCACTGTTTTCTACTCTCCATAGTTTCAGAGGAGAAGTTCATGGTAATTTGAATCATTACATGCAATGTGGTTCTTCTCTGGCTGCTTTCAAGATTTTCTCTTTTTTTTTGGTTCTCAGCAGTTTGACTATGATTTAAGTAGGTGCAGTTTCCTTCATATTTATTTTGTTTGAGCTTTGCTGAGCTTGAATCTGTAAATGTATGTCTTTGCCAAATTTAGGAAGTGTTCAACTATTATTTCTTCAAATAATGTTTTTGCTCTATTCTCTCTTTCTCCTCCTTCTGGAACTACGATCACACATATTTTAGATCTCTGATATTGTCCTTTAGGTCTTAGAGGCTGTGTTCATTTTTTTTCAGTCCTTTCTCTTCTTCAGATTGGATACTTTTTATTACTATATCTTCAAGTTCACTGACTCTGTTATTTCATTCTGCTACTGAGTCCATCCAGTTAGTTTTTCATTTCAGATATTGTATTTTTTAGTTCTAGAATTTCCATTTGGTTCTTTTCTTACCTTTTCTATTTCTGTGCTGAGGTTTCCTATTTTTTCATTTGTTACCAGGGCATTTTTCTCTCCTCATTAAACATCATCATCTCAATATTGGCCTCCATTAATTGTCTTTTCCCCTGAGAATGGGTCACATTTTCATAATTCTTTTTATACAGTCATCTTTTGGTATCCATGGGGGATTGGTTCCGGGACCTCCCTCCCCTGCACACACCAAAATTCATGAGTGCTCAAGTCCCTTATATATACAAAATGGTATATTATGTACATATAAGCTACACAAACATCCTCTTGTATACTTTAAAATCATCTCTACAATATTTATGATACCTAGTACAATGTAAGTGCTTTGTAAATAGTTGTTATACTGTATTATGTTGTATTTGTATTTTTTATTGTTGTATTGTTATTTTTTATTGCTTTTTTCTGAATATTTTTTATCTGTGGCTGGTTGAATCCATGGATACAGAACCCAAGGATATGGAGGGCTGACTGTATTGAGTAATTAATTTTAGAGGGGTTCCTGGACATTGTGAATGCTATGTTATAGAGGCTCTGGATTCTGTTATATTCTCTGAAGAGTATGGAGTGTGGATGTATTTGTTTCAGCAGGCAATTGACTTGCTTAGATTCAAATTGTCCTCTGCTTTGCGTATGTTGAATGGCAGCTCAAGTCTAAGTTCTGTTCTTTTAGTTTTAAATGGAAACTGCTTTGAGTCAGTCCTAT